AATACGGAGTATTATTTAGTCAAATGTATTAATATGCTGTCTTAAATTTGTACGTCTTTTCAAAAGTGACTATTTTCTAAAAAAAAAAAAAAAAAGTAATCATTTAACACCTAAAATCAGTGCTGTAAAAATTAGCGCCTAGGTACTGGCCGGCCACCTAGACTATCACTGTAATCAGTGGTCTAGGCAGCTGGCCACTTAGGGGCCGACTAGATTGCCTAGTCTGCACATTAACTATTGTTCTTTTTTTTTTTTTTTGAATGGGTTATTTTACACAAAATGACGTCATTTTAAGCGAAACAATCTTAAATAGTTCAAACCTTTGTTTTTTTTAAGTTAATATTTAATATTTTAATATTAAATATTAAAGTATTAAATAGTTTATAATTATCAAGTCTTAAAAACTATTTTAAAAAATAAAAATAAATATAATTAAATAAAAATGCAGGCCCTAACTATTTTTTCAACCTTGCCTAAAATATAAAGAGGAGAAATGAAGGGCTTATCAGTGTTATCACCAGCCCACAATTTCTTCGGAGGATTTAATTCTGGCAAATTTGACTAATAAGCAACAACGCCATCGACTGCCCAGGTAATTGAACACACAGAAATCACTCTGAACTTCTCCGGCAATCCGGCCGGACCACCCGCCGCCGCTAACGTCTCTGTAAAAATTCTTTGCCGCTCTCCGTCTGGCGAACTCGGTGTTTTGGGGTCTTTCAACACCACAGCCAACGGGACGATCAATGGTTCCATCCTTCACAACCCAAATCTTCAGCTTGAGTCTCATGCTTGTAGCCCGCCCAGAAATCTGCTCTTTTCCGTTCATTATTGGAGCACCCCTCCGGAGGGCTATCATCAAACATCTTCGGTCTTATAAAAGTCTTTAATAAAGAAGGGAATTCCAGATTAACTCTCATCACTTTCATCATCTATCAAGCTTTGTCTATGTTTCCTCTATTAATCCACTTGTTTATTAATATCAGACAATTAATTTTGCAGAAGTTATTATATCACCATGTGTCAGGACAATGTAATGTAATAATTTGAAGAGATAAGGGTCAAATAGACCCTCAAACTATATATCAAAGTGCAATTAGATCCTCGAACGAAATAAACATCCAATTAAACCTTTAAACTTTTTAAAATAATGCAATTAATACATTTAACCTATAATAGCAAGTTATCTTCAAGTTACATGCCATGCAGGATGCCATGTAAGATGCCACATCAGGTAAATTAATATTTTTAAACTTATTTGAAAAAATAAAATAATTATACTAAAAGAATAGAAATAAGCAAACAGAAATAGGCAAAAAAAATATATATAATCATTCACATTCCAATTGAAACCCTACACTATTTTTTTTCTTCAAAAAAATAAAATAAAACAAAAGCACGGAAGCAGCAAGGCCATGGGAAGCTGCCATGGTTGACAGAGAAGCAGACCGATGGGCTTCTCCTTCAAACAGAAAAAATGTGCAGGCTTCTTTGTGTGTAGTTCGGCCAAGTGCACAGGATTCTACGTTCAAATATAACATTTAAAAAAAAAAAAAAAAAAAAAAAAAAAAAAAAAAAAAACTACAACGCCATGGTAGCTGCCATTGTTGACAGAGAAGCCGGTGGGCTTCTCCGTTCAGTTCAGACGGAGAAACCCGCTGACTTCTCCGTTCAAATATAACATAAAACCAAAAAAAACAAAAAAACAAAAACATGCAACACAGGAAAGCCATGGCTGCCATGGTTGACAAAGTCACAGAGAAGTCGGCGGGCTTCTCCGTTTAGTTCAGACGGAAAAACCCGCTAGCTTCTCTATTCAAATATAACATAAAACCAACAAAAAAAATACTGAAACACACAGCACAGGAAAGCCACGGCAGCTAAACTGCCATGGTTGACAGAGAAGCCGGCGGGCTTCTCGGTTCGTTCGAAAGAAGAAAAACGTTGGTTTCTCCATTTAAATTTAACATAAATAATTATACTAAAAAAACAAAAACAAGCCATCAACAATGTCATGGTTGACGGAGAAGTTGGCAGACTTTTCCGTCCAAATCTAAATGAGTAGCCATGGCTTCGCCGATGAGGAGCCAGCATCTCCGTTTAGTTTGGATGGAGAAAATGACAGGCTTCTCCATTCAAGTCTAACGGAGAAATCGTTGGCTTCTCGTTCAATTTGGATGGAAGCACGCCGGTTTCTTCTTCCAATCTAACGAAGAATTGAAACCGGCGACTTCGCCTACAGTAACTACTTTTTTAGTTTTTTTTTTAATTATTAAATTGAAATGTCATGTTAAATGCCAAACAAGCAAAATTAACCATTTACCTTTTAGTAACCTATTAAATATGTTAATTGCACTCTTTTAACAAGTTTAAGGTTTTAATTGGATGTTTATTTAGTTTGAGGGCCTAATTGCACTTTGATTTATAGTTTGAGGGTCTATTTGACCCTTATCCCTAAATTAAATTATGACACAAACAAAATATATGTATAATTGATAAGGAAAAAATGATATATTGGAATTAGGATCATACGAGAACATTTCTTTTTGTAAAATTTGTGATCAAATAATCGTATCCGCTGACGAATTGAAGAGTATTTTGGGTGAATAATGTTGTGTGAGGGTACGGTATATCCTCACACCGAATATCGTTTTCAAAGATTGGCGATAAGAGTTGAGCAGTTTGCTTCTCAAACACAAAGTACTACTACTTCAAATGGAAATCGGTCAAGCAAATAGGTTGGGGGGCGAGGGGGATAGGAACTTGGATTAGGATGGGGGAAATGCAATCGAAAGCGAGTCATCGGTCCGGGGAAAGAAAAGGACCGCCTTTGAAAAAAAAAAAGGAGCTCACCTCTCCCCATGTCTCAGAGGAATCTACTCTTTCATGGCAGCCACCTTCCCCTGGCGAGGCACCCATTTGTGAAATAAAAAAATGAAATTTCCTAGCACAAAGAGCATCAGCCAGTTCTTTCAGCATTAGTAAAGTAAGCTGGAAAAAGGAAGGACAGCAAGCCAGGAAAAACAGGAGCAAGAGAAATACTCAATTGATTGTATGAAGGATATGATGTCATATTAACTAGTAGCAAGCATTTCTTAAGGTTATTCCACAGTCCACACCCTTACAGCACCTAAGAACATTCTCATGCCTCATGGCTAAGAGGCGTTTCGTTGAACACTTCCTAATTGGGACTCAATCATGTTGAGCAACATCATCACATCAAGTCTCATCTCCCTTACTCAATCAATCCAATATCACATCTCCAAACATCTATTTACATCCCTATCTCCGTCCTAGATAATTTACTCACACATAATGGAAAGGAAAATAGCAAGGAATTCAAATGCAAAAGCACAATCCATAACCAAAACAATATATTAAATCAAACTAATTAATCAAAGCAGTGAATTGAAGCACAAAGTAATTAAATTGCAAGAATTGAAAATGAAGAACTACTTTACCTATATTGAAATTGAAATCTTCAAATTCTTGATCAAAATTGCACATGAAAGTAAATTTAAGCCATGATTGGAAATTGAAATTCACAAGTATTTGAATCTAAAAGTGCTGGAAAAGTATAAGGGAAGAAATACTCCCCAAAATAGTCTAAAGAGAAAACCTAAGAAAAGAAAAAGCTCCTTGTAAAAATCTAACTTCTCCCTTTTATAGCTCCCGGATATACTTGTGTTACGAGGCCTTTTACGAGCGTAACGTATGGTCGAGGCAATGTGTCCTCTTAATTTGTGATCAGAACATGTTAGATGTGCAGGTAAGACTTAGCCAGATGTGCGCGAGGCAATGTGAATCCTAGTTCACAATATAATTTGCTATAATTTACCATTGCAAATATCGCAATAAAATGAAAGCAAACCATAAAAGCCAATAATAATATGCATAAAGACTTTATAGGCAACAATTATTATACCGTGGACCATGGTATGGAAACGGCATCGTTTCTTTAAGTAAAGAAACGGTTGCCATTACATTTTAATAGAGCCCGTATTTTTTGTGTTCATAACAAAATGAAACTACAGTGTATTTAAAATGTAACTGTCTCACATATTGTGTTTATATTATCAAATGAAGCTGTAATTGAATTATTGAAACGATACTTTAGTTGTGTGAAATGAAACTGCAATATGTATAAAATGAAACTAAATAATATGTCTCACATATTGAGTATATATTGTCAAATAGAACTGTAGTTGAATAGAAATGATATTGCAGTTGTGTTGTAATGAAACTACATTGTATATAAAATGAAATTGAATAACAGTTTCACATATTTGAGTGTATATTGTCCAATGAAACTGTAGTTGTATCGAAATGATACTGTAGTTGTGTTGTAATGAAACTACAGTGTATATAAAATGAAACTGAATAACAGTTTCACATGCATATTTGAGTGTATATTGTCCAATGAAACTGTAGTTATATCGAAATGATATTGTAGTTGTGTTGTAATGAAACTACAGTGTATATAAAATGAAACTGAATAATAGTTTCAAATATTTGAGTGTATATTGTCTAATAAAACTGTAGTTATATCCAAATGATACTGTAATTGTGTTGTAATGAAACTACAGTGCATATAAAATGAAACTGAATAACAGTATCGCATGTAATAAGACTATTATATGTATAATGTCGAATGAAACTGTAGTGGGAACAAAATAAAACTATAGTTATGTTGAAATAAAACTACAATGTATATAAAATGAAATTGAATATGTTATACAAACAGAGTTACTTTACTCCGAATGACGCGAAACGAGTGTCGTTTCTTTTCAACGACACCGTGTTGGACATGGTCCCCGGTATAATTTGCCTATAGGCAACACAACCAGCTTGGACTCACCTAAGTGCTCTCACCATTAATAAATAGAGGGCGGAAAAACGATAAATGTATTTTTCCGGAATAATACTTATGCTACATGCATGTTTTAATTCTTTTCTAAAAAAGAAAAAAAAAATCAATAAAATCATCTCGAGTAGCAAAAGATAAAAACTGAAATTCTCTGTCAGAATTATATATAGAATATAGAATACGTGAATACCGCACGGTTGTAACAACCACCTTTTTCACCTCCCAATTCTACCAAAACACCATTTCCTCCCTTTCAAACCACCACCACCACCGCCGTATTCCTCCGCCCCTCCCCGGCCATTTTTTTTTTCTTTCTGACTTCCATCTTTTCTCTTATGTAATCCACATTCTTTTTTTTGACATCCAAAATGTCCGTCATCGTTCAACTTGAGCAACTAAATCAATTAAAACAAATATTCTCAAGATTCGACATGGACGCCGACGGCAGCCTGACCCACCTGGAGCTCGCCGCCCTGCTCCGCTCCCTGGGGATCAGACCCTCCGGCGACCAAGTCTACGTCATGCTAAACAACATGGACGCCAACGGCAACGGCTTCATCGAGTTCGACGAACTCGTCAACGCCATCATGCCCGACATCACCGAGCAGATCCTCGGCAACCAAGAAAAGCTTTTGGAAATCTTCAACTGCTTCGACCGGGACGGCAACGGCTACATCACGTTGCCGGAGCTCGCCGGTTCCATGGCCAAAATGGGTCAGGCCTTAACGTACAAAGAGCTGAAGGAGATGCACGAGGAGGCCGATACCGACGGCGACGGCGTAATTAGCTTCACCGAATTCACGGCTATAATGGCCAAGTCCGCCTCCGAGTTTCTAGGCCTCCCTCTCCCGCCGCGCAGAAATACAGAAACCGACGACGCCAATGCCGCCGGCCATTGATCATATTTGCAGAGATAATAGTTTTGTCTAGTTTAATTAAATTAATTGTAATACATTGTGTATATTATTATCTATAAAAAAAAGTTATTTAGGTGTAATAATTCCATTTTTGTCCTGTTATACTAACTTTTTTTTATGTTATATATATATATATATATATATATATATATATATATATATATATATATATATACTTTGGAGAATACTTGTAATTAACTAGATAGTTAAATCATGTATATTTTCAGGTGAAGTTTTAGCTATAACTGACAATCCCAATATGAATATATAGCATGTGTGTGGCAATGCAACTCCGTGGACACAAACATTAACCTTTTGTGAATGTGCATAGTAACACTTCTCCAATAAACCAAATTTCAAATTGGATTATTTATTGAATTGGATTGTGTTCTCCATCAATTAGGTAGGATTTTTAATCATGTCATATTGGAAGTTGGTTGGAATACATTTAAAAGGAAAAGGCTTCTTCCTCTTTAAAAGTGTTGTTCCACATTGGTTTTGAAAGTCCCCTTCTCCCACTTTATATAGTACAACTCTTTTAAGAGTCTTGAAACTTTATGGACAGGAGAGAAGGGGAGACCATGCGCACATCGTCGCCATTGACTACTTGGTTCGCTTGCGTGCATGGTGTGCGGATCAGTTCTCACTTGTCCGTAAGAAACACACAATTCGAAAAAACTGGAACCTCTCAACGACATCAACCAAAAATACTCATGCACTTCGAACAACTCGAAGTGGAAACACACAATTCGAATCCTCTCAACGACGGTGGTCAACCAAAAATACTCATGCACTTCGAACAACTCGAAGTGGAAACACACAATTCGAATCCTCTCAACGACGGTGGTCAACCAAAAATACTCATGCACTTTGAACAGCTCGAAGTGGACTATGTTCTGCTTCACGATATTGCTATGTACCAAATTACCCATTGCCTTTATTAGACTTGTGTTAATCTCGCAAAACTGGAACCTCTCAACGACATCAATTTTCGTAGGTGGTCAACCAAAAATACTCATGCACTTTGAACAGCTCGAAGTGGACTATGTTCTGCTTCACGATATTGCTATGTACCAAATTGCCCATTGCCTTTATTAGACTAGTGTTGATCTCGCAAAACTGGAACCTCTCAACGACATCAATTTTCATAGGTGGTCAACCAAAAATACTCATGCACTTTGAACAGCTTGAAGTGCACTATGTTCTGCTTCATGATGCTGCTATGTACCAAATTACCCATTGCCTTTATTAGGAAGTCAATCGGTCTGGATTTTTCCCCCACAATGACCTTGTCTAAAGGTGAATAGATCTCAACCAACCTTCTAATAACATCTTAAAAAGAACACATTATTAATAGAAATAAACTTGAACAAGATTTAGAAGAATCACAAAAACATACCAACCAGCTCCTTATCATCAAAATGGGTCTTCAAATCTGAAAAAACTTTCAACGATACCAGTGTCTAGGAAATCCATTGTTTTTGTACTTGTTTATCAAAGTAGAGCAATTGAACTTCAACATAAATCGGTGAGTGTTGGTCTTATAACTAAAAAAATTAATTATCATCAAGAAATTCTTAATAGCATAGACTTTACCCTCTTTCACTGTTGGAAATCTTTGATTTTTCAACCACCTAAAAATGGTCGAATTTCAATTTTTTGTCTAAGGATTATGGTGGAGAAATAGGTCAAAATTTCCGACCACCTTTACTTAGTGGTCGGAAATACCGACCACAAAGTAAAGGTGGTCGAAAAAAATTTCGACAATTTAAATTTTTTTTTTAGCTGAGTTGGAAATTTCAGCCCATCTTTCTAGTAGCTAATTTTTTCGACCACTTTACAAAATTGAATGCTATTTCCGACCACATTGTCCGGTGGTCAGAAGTAGCGACGAAGGTTTTTCCAGATACAAAAAATTGTCGAAACAAAGGCTTCCGACTTGATTTAAGATCACTTTCATGTGATTGAAAATTCCTTGATTTTCAGCCGTGTTTGAAGACCTTATGGTACTTACCAACATGCTCCTTAGGTATATGAGCATGTAGGTAGGTTCCCTAAATAGAACAAAGATTGAAAACATATTATTAACAGTAAAAATAAGATATATATATATATATATATATATATATATATATATATATATATATATATATATATATTTCCCCCATTTGCAATATTTTTTCTATTCAGTGAACTTAATAAAGTACATAGAACAAAACATACAAATGAGAAACATTATGTGTAAAACTGATCAGTTTTACACATAATGTTTCTCATTTGTATGTTTTGTTCTATGTACATTATTAAGTTCACTGAATAGAAAAAATATTGCAAATGGGGGAAATATATATATATATATATATATATATATATATATATATATATATATATATATATATATAGGGATGGAGGGAGAGGGGGGCAGTAGGGGCGGCCGCCCCCCTCACCCCACCCCACCCCGTATATAGTATTTGTATGTATATATGTATATATAGTACATGTTTTAGTATTAGTATAAAAAAATTATAAAATATTAATAAGAAGTGAGTTAGAGTAGGTGGTAGCGCACAACTTTGGTAATAATGAAGTTAAGGGTTCTAATCCTAGCATCAACATAGTTTGTGTAATTTATAATGTGTTTTCTATTCAAATTATTTTATTAATTATGTGTCATATTTTGTTATGAATATTTTTATAAAGTTTCTAGAAAAATTTTCTGAATCCATCTGTACTGTTTCGCCCCCCCTCAACCGAATTTCTGGCTCCGTCCATATATATATATATATATATATATATATATATATATATATATCAGCAGAGAAAAAGCTTGTAAAAATAGTAATTTTGACATATATTATATTGTTTCTCATGTGATATTGGAAGTTTGTTGGAATACATTTAAAAGGAAAAGGTTTCTTCCTCTTTAAAAGTGTTGTTCCACATTGGTTTTGAAAGTTCCCTTCTCCCACTTTATATAGTACAACTTTTTTGAGAGTCTTGAAACTTATGGAGAGGAGAGAGGGGAAACCATACGCACATCATCGCTATTGACTGCTTGGTTCGCTTGCGTGCATGGTGTTCGGATCAGTTCTCTCTTGTCCATAAGAAACACACAATTCAAATTCTCAGACTGCACTATCGCTGCAATTTTGCAACAATGTCTTTGTTCGTGAATAAAATTAGTGTTGATCTTGCACAGTTCTCTCTTGCAACAATGTCTTTATTCGTGAATAAAATTAGTGTTGATCTCGCACACTTTTCTCTGGCATCAATTTTCGCAGGTGGTCAACCAAAAATACTCATGCACTTTGAACAGCTCGAAGTGGACTATGTTCTGCTTCACGATGCTGTTATGTACCAAATTACCCATTGCCTTTAGGAAATCAATCAGTCTGGATTTTTTCCCTACAATGACCTTGTCCAAAGGTGAATAGATCTCAACCAACATTCCAATAACATCTTAAAAAGAAAACATTGTTAATAGAAAATAAACTTGAACGGGATTTAGAAGAATCACAAAAACATACCAACCAGCTCCTTATCATCAAAATGGGTCTTTAAATCTGAAAAAGAATTCAGACGATACATGTGTCTAGGAAATCCATTGTTTTGGTACTCATTTACCAAAGTAGAGTAATTGAACTTCAACATAAAACGGTGAGTGCTGGTTTTATAACTAAAAAATTAGTTATCATCAAGAAATTCTTAAAAGCATAGACTTTACCCTCTTTCACGGTTGGAAATCTTTGATTTTCCGACCACTAAATAAATGGTCGAATTTTAATTTTTCGTTGAAGGATTATGTTGGAGATATAGGTTGGAATTTCCGACCACCTTTATTTAGTGGTCGGAAATACTGACCACAAAGTGGTCGAAAAAAAATTCGGCAATTTAAATTTTTTTAACTGAGTTGGAAATTTTCGCCAATCTTTATAGTAGCTGATTTTTCCGACCACTTTACCAACTTGGATGTTATTTCCGAACACCGGATTCGGGATTGTTCCGTGCATTTTTTTCCAATATTATTGCATGGCCCTTTAGTTTAAAGCATTTTAACAAGGTTTGATGAATTTCAAAGCATTTGGATGCTTCGTTCATTGAAAATGACGATGTCCAAAATTATGTCGAGCTGTACGCAAACTGACCTGTGTGGCATAGCCAAGTACTTAGGATTGTTGGGAATGTGAGAGCAATATATGGCATTTGAATTGGGTCACTAATTAAGAAGTACAATAAGCTCTAAAAGAAATATATATGTCATTTTTGATACGAGAACGACGTTAAACAACATAAGCCAAGGCATAGCACACCACCGTCGTAAAAGTATTTGGGTGACTGGCCTGTAAACGTTTGTTGCGTGATATTGCCCACCGTCATGTCACATCCGTCCGCAACTTAGGTACCAACGTGCTGCATTTTTCCGCAACTTAGGCACCAACGTGCCGCATCCATCCGCAATTTAGGCACCATCGTGCCGCATCCGTCCGCAACGTACACCCCATCATGCCGCATCGGTCTGCAACTTAGGCCCCATGCATCGTGCCGCATCCGTCCGCAACATACACAACATCGTGCCGCATCCGTCCGCAACTTAGGCACCAACGTGCCGCATCCGTCCGCAATTTAGGCATCATCGTGCCGCATCTGTCCGCAACGTACACACCATCGTGCCGCATCCATCCGCAACTTAAGCCCCATGCATCGCGCCGCATCCGTCCGCAACGTACGCACCATCGTGCCGCATCCGTCCGCAACGTACGCATCATCGTGCCGCATCGGTCCGCAACTTAGGCACCATCGTGCCGCATCCGTCCGCAACTTACGCACCATCGTGCCGCATCTGTCCGCAACATATGCACCATCGTGCCGCATCCGTCCGCAACTTACGCACCATCGTGCCGCATCCGTCCGCAACATACGCACCATCGTGCCGCATCCGTCCGCAACTTAGGCACCATCGTGCCGCATCCGTCCGCAACTCACGCACCAACGTGTC